AAACTTTTTAAATTGATTTGTATCGTTATAAAAATGTTAACTGGACGTGTGTAGTTACTTACAGCATCCAGCAGAAAAATAGCAGCAGATAAAGTGCGAACCGCTCTATCCCCGAAACGCACGTTCAGGTACTCGAAGGAGGATCGTACATTGAGGTTGACGAAAACAGGAATGTAGAGGTAGCTAATGGCGAAGGCCATGAAAAAGATACCAATAACGATGGCATAGTACTGGGTGCCATAGCTGTAAATGTCAGCCGGTGTACCCAAAAGTGTGATGCCGGAAATGAAACTGAAAAACAAAAGAAATTACAACGTTGTAAATTTTGTAACTGGATTAGTACTCGCTACATTCTACCAGGTGGCTGATTAACCCAGCGCACTTCTGTAGTTATGTTGTATAGACTCGGCTGTAGCACATTCCCTTCGTGCGAGCGGGTTGCCTACTCCCTCTGCCCCTGTAAGGCACCATGGTCAGGAGAGACATGCAGACCTACCCGCACTCCCTCGTGAAGTTCAGTATGTAACTACCAAAGGTTAATCGTCTACCTGGTGTACCAGTCAGGTGCTACCGAGCCTCTCCCTCCAAACTCACCCCGCGATAAGGGAAATGGCTACAGGAACAGTCTTCATCTGCCTGTTGGCGAGCAAGTACTCCAAGTCTGTCTTCTGCCTCGAGCCGAAGCAGCCGTAGTACAGGCCCACCAGAAGGGAGATGCCGAGGGTGAGCGCGAGCACCAGGTAGTCGGCCCAGTGGAACAGCGGCTGCGACGAGAATAACGACAAGAAGCGACGTAAAATTTGTTCTACATTAAAAATAAATAGTGCGGAGCACAAAAGGGTTTCGCAAAACGCCCTCCCCAAAGCTGAGTACCTCGTTTCCTTCCTGGAGCATAGGGGTGCTGGCGGTCGTTGAGCTGGTCGCCAGGGTGGCGGCCAACGAGGCCATCGTTGTGGTGTTCATCTTGTGACGGATCCCTCTGCCGGCTGGAGGCAAGGTGCAAGGGAGGTCCCGGCGTCCAGGCAGTGCCCTCCAACCTCGGCGCCGCTCTGTGTGGTCTGAGTCGTCTCCTCATCGAGCCAAAGACTCGACCGCTTATGAGACACTTGGTCATTTGCGGATCCAGTACCGACTGGTTCAGGGGGCGGGTCGGGTGGGGGCGTCTCAAACGCCCGCTAATTAAACACACTCACCCGCCGACACCTTGGCGCGTGCGGCAAACGGAGATGCTGCGGCAAAGGTCGCACGAGTGGCGGCGGGAGCCGGGCGGGGGTGGGAGGCGCGTGCGCGTGCTTACGCGGAGTACGCGTCGCAGGCAGGGGCGGCCGTGGAGCTCGTACAGAGTATTCCCGCTGCATCCAAGCCTGATCCCGACCGACCTACCTGCTTCAGCCCAAACGCTGGCTGGCCAACGCCGGCGTTCGGAGGCGAGGTCAGCCGTTGAGCTGACCAGCTCGCGTCCTTTGCAGGGATCCGGCCGGATCCGGCTCTGACGGCACTGTCGCCATGGGCGCCGCCAGCATCCGCGTCGCGCAACTCCACGCGAGCGCCGCCTTGGGGGTAGGCCACCCAACCTACGTCCGCTGCACTGGCGAGAGAGGTCTCCCCCTCCCCCTCCCCCGGCTTCTTCTCTGCAGGTGGCCCCTGCGGCCGAAACCCCGCGTGACCGCCCTTGCCGCGCTGCCCACCTCGCGCTCATCGCGAAGATCGTGTATGTAGACCATCGATTAGATCATCGAGTAGATCCCGCAAACGTCCGTTTGCGGCGCAGCTCAGTCTCACAAGGGAGCCTTTTCAGGTGTAAATCTCCTCCGATTTCGTTGAAACTTGGAAAATTTGAAGGTTGTGTATGTAGAAATCGGATGGCACTTGAAATTTTTCCTGAACTTCACATTTAGTTTTTCCTTATACAGGGTAGGAGAAAGGTTTACAAAAATGATATTTTTTGAAAAATGTAAAGCTGTGTTCTAATGAGTAACTCGTCAAAGTAGCACCTCCTGTGCCAAAATTTTGCCCGTTTTGCTCTATTTTGTACCGTTAAGGCGGTAGAGGGATATTTGAGACAAAAAACACTGTAAGGCTCAAGTAAACCCCTGGTAACTGTGAGGTTCAGGAAAATTTCAAGTGCCATCCGACTTCTAGTATAATGACCTTTAAATTTTCCGATTTTCAACGAAATCGGGGATTTACACCGTTTACACTCGAAAAGGTTTCCTTGTCAGCTGCGTTGACCTAGAGCGCGGCCGGGCGCGGCGGGGCCGGGCGAAGGGCAGCCGTCACTCGGCCGGGGCCCACTCGCCCGCCGAGTGACGTTTCCGGCGCGCATTGTGTCGTCGCCAGAGTCGCGCACGCACGCACGCACGCACGCACGCACGCGCGTCACCATGGCGTCACCACTGGCACGCGTCCCCCGGGCAGCAGCGCCGCCCTTAGCTGGCAGCCGGCGTCAGCGGTGACCTCAGCAAGACCCGCGGTAGGGCAGCGTGTCTGGGCGGCGGGCAAATCTGGGGGGAAAACCGGCCATCGTCCAGGAAGGTCGCCGAGGCCGAGGAGGAGAGGAGAGCGCAGCAGGGGCAGACTCCGGGGCAGCAGCAAGCACCGAGCGGCCCGCGCAACTTGGGACAAATATACGTATCCAAAAGTTTAACATTCGTGAACATTTTAGCGGGTACGAATGAAATTTCCATGAATACTAACAAGCACCTGCAGATGCGCGCAATGTGCCCCGCCAGCTGCGGTTAGCCATCGGGGGTGCTGGAATGTCCAGCACCTGCAGGTGCATACACTGTGCACGTCAGCAGCGGGTCTGTCTGACTATCGTCGTACATAGCAAGAGGGTTGCCGGTTGCCTGTAAGTTACCATGTCAGCAGCCCGAGAGCCCATGAGGGCCTGAACCAGACCGAACTTTGACTTTTTAAAATTATTTTTCCAACTTTTTAATTTGATTTGAAATTGAATCTGGAACTATTTGATTATTCGGTTTGGAGGGAATATACTTACTTTTAGATCAGCTTCGATTTGAAGGGGAAAACATCGATACGCACTGGTGTACACATTCAGCCAGCACTCACACTATGAATGGGGCTGCCCGGGCCGTTTGGCCAGACACTCTCACTCTCTCTCTCTGGGATAGGTGCAGGTAGTATACATTACACCTTAGGTGCAGGCAGGTGCGCCAGTGCTTCGGGGAGAGTTACACCGGTGCATTGCTTGGTGCAGTGCAGCGAAGTGCACTGCAGTGGGGTGGAAGGCAAGCGCAGCGCTGCTAACGGCTCCGCTTAGAGGCTACGTATTAATGAAAGAGAGCAAAAGTAAACACGCACGAGTGGCAACCTATGAGGCTAACTACACCACCTACAAGGAGCCTTAACACTGTTGTTTTTTTGTTTTTTTTTCTTAAAAAATTCTCCAAAATATTTTATTGCGACCTAAAGTTTTGCGTGACTGCCCTCGCGCTGCTGAAGAGACACAAAATTATGTGTAGTGTAACGCCTTCTGTGCGTGTATGGTGCTGGCTGTCTGGGCCTTCATAGACGCCGACCCTAGCGTCTGGCGTTGCCCCAAAATAAAGTGCCGACTCTTCTTCCCTCGCACTGCCAGTGTGTCGCCATACTGCGGACGGCGGCGGCGGCCGGGTCCACCGGGGGACGGTGTGGCTGGCGCAGGACCCCGACGAGCCCTCTGTAATGATTCACCTTTGGTATTCACCCACCCCCGCCGGGGTGCGCCCCCATGGCCTTTGTGCCGGCCCCCGCCACTAAGTGCTCTCTGTCTGGTCTGCGATAATGAGACGGGGGCGGGGCCGGGCGGGGCAGGGCGGGGAGCTTCATCCATCAATGGCGCAGTCCTGGCGTGGCGTGGCGCTATCGTCATTGCGAGGCGGCTGCGACAGGTACTGGAGGGCTGGGGCGGGGCGGCGGCGGCATCGTGGCGTGGCGTGGCGTTGAACAGTGAAGCCGACTCCGAACCGGGGAGTACGTACAGCCGCGGAAAGTCGCAGCGCACACTTCTTTCTTATTTTCCTCCGCGAGCCTTTTGCTAACCTGCAGCCCCCCCCCCCCCCCCCCCACTCTGCTGTTCACTGTCCAACACCTTTCTCTCGCGAATGAGAAATGTCACTTGCGCCTCCCATATGTGATGGCTGCGGAGCGGGGGCCCGGCCGGGGGCCACGGCATGTTCGTCACCAGCGGATGGGGCTATGGCGGCAGGGGTCCTGGGGTCCTCCTGGCCTTTGGCGGCGAGCCCCAGAGGGGTCGCTCACATCGCTCCGTATCGCTATCACTCGTTATCGGAGGCACTTCCTCCCGCTTCTGGAGAAGAGATTCCTTCTCCGGTGGCCCCGGCCCACCCTGGCGGCCCCGCCGGACAGGCAGCCCGCCCCGATAGTGTTCGTGGATTTCAGCGGGCCCCCGACGTCTCCGACACGAGGGTGCCCCCGGTGACTCCGCCGCCTCCGCCCCACCCCCCATTCCCCCGAGCTTTTTGTGCCATTGAGTTTACTGATGATTTTTTCCTGTAAGCCGGGGATGAAATGTGACACAAAAATGCGAGGAGTGTAGCTCCAACCTGCACGACTATGTCTCATTACGCGATGTCGCTCTCATAGTGGGGTAAATAGCGTACCCACTACCCACACGCGTTGTAATTCTGCTTATGCCACGGCTGGCCGACGACGCCGCGTCCGCGCCTGGTTCGACTTCCTCGTCATTGCGAGCGGGGCAGGGCGGGACAGGCCGTCGGTCAAGGAGCGTGTCGGTGTCGCCGGCGTCGCGCACCTCGATGACGGGGGCTGCAAGGAGCTGCAATACCCCCCCCCCCCTCCTTGCCTCCCCCGCGACACACGCGGGGCTCATCGCCACCCTACAGGTTTGCATAACGCGTGCTCCCCAAAAGGTGCGTGTATTCGCGTGAGCGGAGCGTGCGTCGACTTCCCAAGGAGCTCGCTTGCGAACCGACAAAAAAATCACTCTCGAATTATTTCTTAATCCAAACCCAAAGAAGGGATCCGCCAGGCTGTTCGCGTGCACTTTCTTTGTGGGTAAATGGACACCCCCCCCCCCCAGAAGAAAGAACGTCAATAGGACCATAGCTTCCCTTCACGTCAGGACGACATTGCCAGGGTGTCCAACTTTGGTCTGCCGGTGTACAAATATGCGGGTTTCCTGGGCTTTCTTATGGGTCTTCTGGCTGGACTTTCTGGGCTTCCTGGGCTTCCTACTTTTGGGGGGCGGTTGGTGTACACGCTCAGACCTAGTCAGGCACCCCTCGCGACATTGTCATAATGTCAAATTCCTATTTTTAAAAAGGGGTCGAGGAAAGAGGGGGTGGGGTGGGGGGCAATTTCTTCATGGTAAAGACAGTCTCGGGGAGTGTCTAAAAATTGTGTCATGTTTTCGGCGGACTGGGCGTAAATTTTACGACATGGTAGTGATATTGTCTGCCTTTGACACCCGCCCTTCCCCTTTCTTGCCTTGCCCGTCCCGTCCCTCCGTCCCTCCCTTCCCTGTCGCCTGCCCTGTCTGGGAGCGGGCTGGACGGGAGGGGAGGAGGAAGGGGCGCGGTGAGGTGGGGGCAAAGGTGATGGTGTGGGGGAGGGGAGGGGGTCTTTCCCCGCCCCGCTTGGCTTTGCTCCGCTCAGCGCTTCTGAGGCAGACAAGTTCGGAGGTTCGGCTCGTTCGAGCAGTCAGTAGTGCATTCAACCTGCAGCGGCACACACCACCGGACCAGCTGACCTCAACCAACCATGTCGGCTGAACGATCACTCAGGACCTCAATGCAGGTATGTACTGTAGAAAGACGGCCAGAGTAGTTTCGCAGTGCAGTGTCCCGCCACTTCACCCAGGCAACTTCTGTGGTGTTATTGTTTAGTTTTATTCAAGATATTTTTGTGTAGTACTAAACAGTACTGACAAATAGAGTATAGCGCGTATATTTTTGCTATTATTGTCAACGTCGACACCAAGTGAATCTGGAGTACTCCGACACCTTCACGATAACGTCATAACAATATTGTTTAGAAATTCTGCTCGATTGAGGCCCCCCCCCCCCCCACCCTGAATCACTTCGATCCACTACGTGCACCACGTCCATGTCGGCCAGCGACTCGCATTCTTTAATTAATTCATTTTTATTCCGTAAGGACTCACTCATACATTGCGTGCAGCCAGACGACAGCCACCTCTTGGCCGCCGCCGTCCCGTACAGTCGGTCGTCTTTGGTTCTGGACGTTCTGGACGCGACGGGACGGGAGGCGACCGACCTTCCCTTTCCGATATCCCTGGCCGTGTTTCTTCGTGTTTGTCGCGCGGTGCGGCGCTCCCCGCCCCGCCTGGCCCCGCCACGATATCCGACATTGACATAGGATATAGCGCAGCGTGCTCGTCAGCCTTGGCGTGTCTGAGCCGGGCGGCGCGGGGCAGGGACCGACTCGGGGAGCTCGGGGACCGACTTGTGCTCCCGGAGTCTGGAGCCTCCTGGACGGCGCCGCTCGAAGTGGGGCCCGTCCCGCTGCCTGATAAGAGTGGAGTAGACACGAAGTCCAGAGTTTCTCAAGATTCGATTTTTAACTGTCGACGCTCGGGCCGGCGTTCACAAAAGGGGTTTTAAAGGCTAAGGTCTCGATGTGGCTTCTCGAACCTCAGCTTGGGATGGGACAATGGCTTCAAGTCAGTGGCCATTAGCCGCACGAGTGCGTCGGACAGCCGTCGAACAACTCCATCTAGGTGCACTCGGTCGAGCTAGGCGCGCTAGGCGGCGGGGCGGGGCGGGGCGGGGCGCAGGGTGCGCGGCGCGCCGGGCGCGGGGTGTGGCGGGGCGCGACGACGGGGAACAAGCATCGGGAGAAAGTTGTGATGCTGCTGGCCGGGACACGGCTGGCTCCCGTGAGCCTCCGTAAGTTCAATTTCCCGGGTAACGTATGGTGTAGCACTGCCTTGATTACGGGGCGACGGCACGGGACGGGCGCCAGGAGGGAGCTCTGAGCCCCGCGAACGCGCACTGCCTTGACCTGGCTGCAGAAGGCTTTTTGTCCCCGCGCTCCCCAGTCATGTCAGAAAATTTGTTGCATTTGTGACGATTGTCCTAGAATCCACTAATCATTTCTAGTTGACAAGTATTCTTGTCATCTTGAGTTTGGGAAGTGTGGTGAAGGGAGTAGGGAGAGAGGGGGGGGGGGGGGAGGGGTTGCAAAGGTGGTCTAGTAGTTTCGTCCACTTCCTCGTGTCAACCCCTGTGGCCTCGCAAAGCGGCGGCCGGCGGCCACGGCCGTGGTGAACTGGTCGGCGTGTCCTCTCGCGTCACTTTTGGCGCTGCTGCTACAGCATCCTAACGTAACGGACGTTAACACGTAACCTGACAACACGGTCACGGTGCTGGCCGGACCCCGTCCCCGCGGGATCCGGTTGTAAAGGCGTCGTTATGGTAGGGGCGGACCGTGATCTCGAACCGCGCGGCAGTCTGGGTCGATATGTAAGAATTGGCGCGAAACCGGGCGAAATAAGCGTCGAACCGGCCCGCCACGCCTCGCCAGGCCGCCACCGCGCGGCGCGCCGGTGTGCTGTAACGCACGGAGTCACTCGCGTAATAACATAACGCCGCGAGTCTCCCCCCCCCACCCAGCCTGTCCTGCAGGGCTTTCACTCGACCATCATCCTTCCGGTCGCTCGGCTCAGCTGAGCTCGGCGTCGAACCGGAAGCTGTTCGTATCTCGTTCCCCGGGGGAGGGTTAGTGCCTCGTGCCTTTCTCCCGTGGCTGCGTTGTCTTTGTCCTCATGACCTTCCTTCTTGCAGGCGCTGCTACTGCTGGCGGGGCTCGCCGCCGTGCTGGCCGCCCCCGGCCCACAGCCCGGGCCCAACCCCTACCCCGTGGCCTACCCCGGGCCCAACCCCTACCCGCTGCCGCACCCCTACCCCTACCCCGTGGCGGCGCCTTACCCCGTGGCGCGCCCCCTGCCGGGCCCCGGCCCCCAGAACAGACCGCCCGTGTCCGACACCGCGCTCGAGAACGCCCTCGGCGACAGGCGGTACCTCCAGCGGCAGCTCAAGTGCGCCCTCGGAGAGGCACCCTGCGACCCCGTCGGCCGCAGACTGAAGAGTGAGTATCAGTTTTGTCAACTGGAATACAACTCCTACTTGCTGTAACTGTGGTTGTCGAATCTTGTGTTGACACTGTTCCCTTTTCGGTTGCAGCCCTCGCGCCCCTCGTCTTGCGAGGAGCCTGCCCGCAGTGCTCACCCCAGGAGACGCGCCAGATCCAGAAGGTTTTGTCCCACATCCAGAGGAACTACCCGCGGGAGTGGAGCAAGCTCATCAGAGAGTACGCCGGGTAGTTCATCGAGCCTACCGCATCATCTTTCTTACTTAAAACCAGTCATAATTTTTTTATTTATTGAAAAATCGTTTTCACGTCACAACTCGGCGCATTTTTAGCGCTATGTTTCTCCTTCGATTTGACATTCCCCATTTTATTTTATTTGTAAAAGAAGGGGGCATTTCCTGATGCATCATATTGATGCTCGTTACTTTTCCGAGTAATTCACTGTGATAAGCTTCACCTTTTTATTTTTCATACATTTACCATAGTACATGTCATGATTTCGACTTTGAAGTCCAATCGGACTATGCTCATCTTACAGCAATTAATGCCGTCCAAAAGTTGTGAAAACGTAGTCTTCTGTCTGTGATTGTATGCCTCTACGGGAGTCTTTGTGCGTGTTGGAGTTTCAATTACCTTGCTGTACTTTCATGGAGATCTGCACTCATTTCATAGATAGTCCTAAGGAAATATTTAATACTTGCGGTCTGCACCAACGTCATTTTTATAAAAATAAAATTGTAAGTCATTAAATGTGAATTAAATTAAGTGTTTTAAACTGTCTTCCGTCAATTTGTGCCGTCAACACTCACGCGGCACTCACAGCATGTTGCGCACGCGAATGACCCTTGCTGTCCACTGGACTGTGATTGTAATTGGGGCGAAATACACGGGAACTGGCGTGGCTGGCCTGCTTGACTGGCTGGACTGGACTGTTGGGACTTCCCTTGCGATTCGCAATTTCAGTTGTGACGCCAGAGGGGTCGAGCGGGAGGGGGGGTGAGGTTTGTGGTGAGCCGATTGGCTGTAGGTGTTGCAGCGGCAACACACGCCAGTGCGTACGAGTAGGGGGGGGGGGGGGGCTCTTCACTCCACGACGACAAGCCTGCTGACGGCTAGCACCACGCTAGAGACATGCAGCGCCCACAAAGGGCCGTCCGAGGACCTTGGCCCGCCTGTCCAGGCAAATGAGCGCCGGGGGCACAGTTTCCTTTAAGTGCAACACTCTGGTCGCTCATTAAGTGGCCTTTGTGACTCCCCTATCGGCAGGGCTGGCCTGCACCTCGGGCCGCACACGGCACGGGGCGGCGCAACTGCAGCGGCCGACGGGGACCTCAGGCGCACCGCGTCGGTCCCGGCCACTGGCCAGCCCCCTCCC